AAAAAAAATTAAAAAATTAAAAAATGTCATAACAACTGATAGTAATATTAGTCCTCAGACTACCAGGTCACCAGCTAAAGTAGCAAACACCAGACTTTCTTGTCCATCAGCATTCTTCTTTAGATCTGCCAATCTGACGGCGCTAACAAAAGCAATCTTGCATACCACCACACATTTTGGATCAGGAGAACCACCAGGGACAAGCTGCATTACGCACAAAATGTTAGAATTGTAGAATACAAAATCAATATGACTCAGCTTCTCAAACAAAATCAATAGGACACAGACACCATGCAAAAGAAATTTAGGGATTCAAACGACTATTTTGGCAAAAAATCATTACAAGATCTTGAACTTCCATCACAACATAAAAGCAGAATCATAGTACCTATGAATCTTGCTGAAATAAGAAGTTGGTTTGCTCCATCCCACTAATCTAGAGAACTGCAAGGAAATCAATATTTCAGCATGTATAGAAAACCGTTAGCAGTAATAAAACATATCGTACTAAATAATCCAACCCAACAGCATGTTTCTTGGCAGATTTAAATGCATAACCAAAACAGAAGTAAACCTTCTGTAGGCAGATTTGCATGCATATTGGCAGATTGAAAACCTATACTGGACCCAAGCCAGAAGCTGTTTGGATGTGTTCTTTAGCAGAAGGTTCATCCTGAGGTTTCATGGCCGGAAAGAGCAGAACTTCCTGTCCCAAACCAAAAAACAAAACAATTGACACTTGAGTAAAAAAGCTCAGTCGAAAAAACTTTCTATTGTAGAATGTGAAACTTCCCACGTCCAGCCAAACACACCCAACCCCAACCCCACCAAACCAACACTACCAATAAATTAAACAAATGAAAAATCACCAGCAAGGAAATCCAAAACCACAAACTGATAACACATGAACATTTCACACAAACCACACAAACGTAAAACACAAACCTTGATGTTCTGTGAATCTGTCATCATCATTGTTAGTCGGTCAATACCCAGTCCCCAACCACCAGTTGGGGGAAAACCATACTCGAGAGCCGTGCAAAATGTTTCATCCAAAGCCATTGCTTCATCATCACCTGATTGTCGGTCCTGAAATTTAATCATACAAAAATCTTCAGTCAAGGCACCCCACACAACATGACTTTACATGCCACAATGATTCAATTCCTAATGATCATAATACCTTGAGTTGGTCAGCAAACCGTTGGCGTTGTACCACAGGATCATTCAACTCCGTGTATGCATTGCAAACCTACGTACAGAACATAGATGGCATGCAAGGAAAAAATATAAATATAAGTATATATATACATAGTCCTTAGAAAATCACTATTTTAAAAAAATAACAATAATAAAGAACTAAATAGAAATCCTTAGCTGCTATGACATACTTCACGCTTGTTAACAAATAATTCAAAACGTTCAGTCTCGCAGAATCCATGCTCTGTATTCCTATGATCGAAGTCAACGTAGATTTCATACTAATTTATTTCAATAGAGGACACAATATGAGTAGAAATGAAAAATAAATCAGCAAAACACTATTCTACTTCTATACTGGCAGTGGCAGATGCATTTTGAAATGAAAGTGCTACTACAAATCGAAGTAAACATAGGAACAAACAAGACCTAAAAAATCACAAATATGCTGGCTAATTGAAAGAGAACAATGGCTGAAGCAACCAACACCAATTTAAAACTTAGAGGGCTGACTTTAATAATAATAATAATGATGGTATCAATAAAATATCAAAAAAAGAAGGGATTATTAAATTTGATTATTAAACAACATGTAACCCAAGTGAAGAGACTCGTTAATTAGATTGAGGTAAAGAAAATAGAGATAAATATAATTTGATGTTGTGAACTATATTCTATGGGCACCTCAATTAGTAGCTCAATTTCAAATGAAAATGTAATGTTAAAAAAATTTAAGGACAATGATGCCATTGATGGCAGTAATAAATTTCAGAAAGATATATTTGACAAAGAATTATAATTTTGCACAAATTGCTAGCTGTAAGACTTCATTTTTCCAACTATTTTAAGTCTTCTCAACACTCAAATGGAGCTAAAAAAATTAACTTATGCAGCATGAATTTGAGAAATAAAAAATACACATACCTTGGTTAGAAAGTGGTCCTTCCATGCTATTGGACACTGAGGATAGAAACTTAAGGGATGGGAGAGCACCCAAAATCCTGAAGGCATCCTCGTCAAAATTATTATAACTTAGATCCAGATGTCTCATCTTGCTCAAATTAGACACTAGTTTAGAATCTGAGCATATGACCATGATCAAATGTCATTAAAAGTCAACCCCAAAGAACCATAAGTGAAAATGACCAACTTATTGCTTTTATAGGTAATTAGGTACTTTTTAAAAAGACTTTCACTCTAATTCACAATTGTAGAGAATATATATATAGTGGTATGGAATGAGAGCGCACACACACCCCCCCCCCTTTTTTATTTCACCAAAAACAATAATTAGGTAAACCACAAACCGCTAGCTATGTCATTCTAATTAAAGAATCAATACACTTCCATATGTTTCTACTCATGGGGAATTACTTGCTATGTATAAAGCCAAACAATGTAGGCAATTTCTTTCATAAGTAACATCTAACGTATTTAATCATATTTTCAATTTCAAATCAATAGGTAAGTTGAACCAGTTAAAAAAATAATAAATAATAAACAAAATGAAACAAAAGAAGTTGTAAAGCTAGAAGTACTAACAACTATTTCCCAGCCTTCTATTTATTTTTCTTTTATCTTGCTTTCTCTTTTTGGGCTTTCCTATTATTTATTTAAATATTTGAAAATCAAGAGCACAACCATTGAATGGCACCATCATTATTTTACACATAAATGCGCAGTAGAAATCTATGATCTTGAATGTTACTTTAAGTGCCAGCACAAGATTTTTGCAATTTATAAAATAGATTTTTTTTTTTTTTTTTGGTGAAAATAAGATATTTTGAAAATTTATTCTATAGAAAAATTATGTATTAAAAGATAGAAATATATGGGCATAACAAGTCAATATTTTAGTGTTTGAAATTTGATATCTTTATTTTTTTATTCTGGTGAATCGCATTCTATATTTAATAGAAAAACAAAGCATTAGTATATTTTTCTTTTAAAAATCATAAATTATGGAATAATTAGAATTTTATTTTATGCGGTTAAAACAAAGATAACTAATGGAGATTTTCTTAATTGTTTAAAATTAAGAAAATCAAGAAAATTAGTATGATATATTGAAACTTTCAAAATGCTCCTTACTAAAATCTCCATTTTCCTTAATGTATATATATACATATAGATGTGATTTTCCATTAGGGTTTGACTTCTCTAAGGTTGTTATTTCAACTTAAGAGAGCATTTGTGCTTAGTAGATCTATTTTGAAACCGATTTCAGTGATCCAAACTGTTAATTTTTTAAGATTTGTTAAGTATAATATTTATGCAAAAAATAAAGATGATTGAATATCGATAGTTATATGCTTGAATCATATTTTCTTTTAAAAAATGGACGGCAACTGTATTTTCAAAAATAACCATCTATTTTTTATAATACAGATTTGATTCAAATATATAAGTACCGATATCCGATCATATTGATTTTTTGCATGAACATTATACTCAACGAGTCCTAAAAAGTAAATAATTTGAATCACCGAAATCGATCCCAAAATGAACCTACCAAAATCCAAACACTCTCTCAAATGGAAATGACCAACATGAGAAAAGCTCTTTTCGTTGAAACCCCCTTTAAAATATACCCCTTTTATCCCAAATTTTTATTTTTGTTAAAATTGATAAATATAAAAATAAAAAAGTAAAAAAATTTGAATACTTTATTTTTAATCTGATAAAAAATTTGATAAATTATCAATTTTATGAAAACAAATACTTGTCCCTTTGATTTGATAAACTTTTGACAAAAAGATTAGAGATAGGGGAAGCCATGGGCCTGATGGCCGCGTAACCCGCTCAATCTAGCTTGATAGTTTTAGGCTTGGAAAAAAAATTTGGCCCATAGAATTAGGCTTTGCTGAAATTTTGTGCCCATTTAATTTTTAAATTAGACTTGAAGTAAAGAGTTTTAGTTCAGCTAGGTCTGATCCAGCCATTTATAAAAATATTGATTTTATATTTTATATTATAATTTTTATAAAAATTTGGTTTAAATTCAAATAATCATTAAAAAGGGTCTAGTAGTCCATAAAAAAGAAAATAATAGCTTATATCTATGAAGTTAAATGGACGGACTTGATAACTCGATTAGGCCCGATGTTAGACTGAGCCAGACTTGGATTGATACATATATATATATAGTACAAGTTCAGCCCAAATCTGGCCATGTTAAATGTTTGTCCACCTCTAATTTTTGAGTATTTTTTTTTTATTAAATTTAAATTTAATAAAAAATTAAAAATAAAAAGAGATGCTCTTGCGGTATATATTAAGGGTTAGGGTTTAAGATTTACATAGGGTTTTTAGGGTTTATATGGACACCTCTCTCTATCTCTCTCCGTCTACCTCAATGCCGAACAGATTCAATTCATATATTCCCATCCCTACGTATTCTCTTTTGATCTTCCTTGCAAAGCAAACATGATCAATATAACAACATCAAGTAGCACAAGAACGAAGTCGATTATCGGTTGTTCTTCCTCGTTAACGGCATTAGAAGCAGTTGTGAGCAATAAAGATCTTCTCACACAGATTCTCTTACGCGTTCCTCCCAAATCCCTACTCAGATTCAAGTCTGTTTCCAAGAATTGGTTCCTTCTCATCTCCGACCCTCAGTTTTCGTTCAACCACGCTCGCCAAAATCAACCCAACCACTCCATCGGGGGACTATATTTCTGTTACGACTATTGGTGTTCCATGAAACAAGTCAAGTCTGTCTCGCTTCACGACAATGCAAGTCTTCCCACACTTTCTTTCCTTAACGGTGTTGGTGTTGAAAGAGATTCTGAAATCAGAATTTGGAATCCTAATACAGCAGATTTGAATGTTAATACAAGTTATGTTATTGTAATGTGACCACGCAGACATACAAGCTACTTCCTCAAACTTGTCAACATTTATCTAGATCATATGCTTACTTAGCTTTTGATCCTTCAAAATCACCGCACTACAAAGTTTTGGTTGTATTTGAAAGGATTGATAAATTTAATATCTACTCTTCAGAGAGTTCGTCCTGGAAACAGATTGATTTGACTACTGGACCAAGTTTAGGGGGGGGGGAGGAGTTTTTTGGAATGGAGCAATCCATTGGTTGGGAGGAGAGGGAGAAGTTCACACTAGATTTGACTTTGATGCAGAGAAGCTCACAGTAATGCCAATTAGACCTAAAATTCTCTCTGAAGACAAGACTAGGTATTTTGGAGAATGTTGTGGCCGTTTACTTCTTATTCAGATGCCTTCGTGTCATTATATGGAATTCAAAATCCTCGATATGAACAGGGACTACAGCAGTTGGAATGTGAATTGCAATGTCAATCTTGCACCCTTAATTGATGTATTTTCTGGGATAGTTCAGAGCACTGATTTAGGTCATAGTTTTGATGTTGCGAGAAAGGAGAAAACGAACACCATTTTGCACTAGTGTTATTTTTTCGAGAGACTTCCAAATTTATTTCTTATAATGTGAAGTTGAAGACAGTGAAGGTGCTTATTGATTTTCTCCCAGGTAACTTCGATAATGTTATTTGTCATTATGGGCTTCATAATCCTTTCCGATTCACTGAAAGTATGTCCCCTGTTTGATCTCAAGTATTTGTTAGGGGTTAGTCTCTGATGCTACTATATATCTTTCTATTGATATAGCATTAATAGAAAGATAGTCAGTACATTTTCATCATTTTTTAATTTTGTGTGACCTTCACAATTATTTATTTGTTTGTTTTTCAGTAACCTATTGTTGGGGTAATGTATTCCATGGATGGAGACCTCGATTTAGACAACGTATTCAACTTTTAGTCCTTTCTTTGGTGGTTGAGAAAAAAGTGAAAAACATGTAACAAAATAGATGTAAAATTTTTACCTCTATTCAAATATATATTAACAATTTGCAATGGACCACTCTATGGTACTCTAAGAGTTGATTAAAGAAGCTCCGACTAGTTTATAATGCTACTCTCCAAATGTGACCAAACCATGGAAATAGTAATATTGTGTTTAAATCATGAATTTAGGTAGATATTTAAAAAGAAAAAATAAATGAGTATGCATATGTAACTATATGTTATTTACATTTCATCCATTTTTTCTTTTTCTCTTACTAAATTTTGATACAAAACAATAATAATCTAAACACAGGTTCAGGGTCAGTAGGTGAAATTTAAGGACATAATAAAAAATTATGTCAAACTTAAACAAAAGATCTACAACTATCATCAATGTCAGATGTGGAGTACCTTAATGCTGTGTTTAGTTAGATGATTTGAAGAGGGATTTGAAAAGAAAAATAGAAAAGGTAGGTGAAATGTAAATAAAACATGTTTATTTTTCGCCTAGTTTCACAAACATTTCCCTTTTCATTTCTAAATTTCCCCTCAAATCTTTCGACCAAACACAGGAAGAAGACTCCCATGTTCTGTTTGCCTCTCTGTAATAGCAAATTCAGCCTGCAATGGTGATAGAGACTTTCATTATTATCGCTTTACATGTGAACCCTGTTTTGACCATTGTAATACGTTAATCGAAATAAAAAATATTTTTACCTCTCTGTTATAGCAAATTCAACCTGCAAATATTTTTTTCTATCAATTTTATTTAATGGAAATAAAAAATAAATTAAAAAATTGTTGTTTAAATTGACAAAATTAAAAATTTATGATTTATTTTGTTACAAGGGTCAAGCTCTAAGAGCATGTTTGGTACGATGGAATAAAATGAAGTGAGAATGGAATGAGAGTGAAAATGAAATACAATTGAATGCAATGGAATATCCATTTCCATTCCATTGTTTGGTTGCCAACATGGAATGACATAGGAAAAGATGATAATTATCATTCTCATATTTGGTAATGCCTATTAAACTCATAGAATGGAATAAATTTTTATTATTTTTTTTAACTAGTAACAAATAAATTAAAAATTTATATAGATCATCATAATATTGATAGTTGTGGAAGTGATGGTGTTAGTCGTAGTCATAGTGGTAGTGGCGATGGTGATTGCGGCGGCAA